TGGGATGAACACAGAATGAGGTGTTTCGGGGTAGTGCTTGAGTAAATACTTGTATTAAATAGAGAGAAAATGTCAGAAGAATGGAAAATAGTGCTCAGTGAGAATTTTCAAGATTTTTTCCTTCATAATTTTTTTTACGGTTGATTAAATCAAGAGGTTTAGATGGGAGGGATATGTAGCACGAATTAGAAGATGATTAATTTCTACAATATTTTACTCACTTATTGATACCATTGAGAAGATTTACTTTAAATGATCATGGTGAAGTGGATATAGAAATAATGGATATAATTAATTATTAGCATTTTTTCTTAATTCTGCAACATCCACTGTAAAGAAAGATTTTAATCTAATCCCACAATGTACTAAGCAGGCATCGCCTGACTCAGTAGACATGTCCCTGCTTTTACTTGTTTCATTAAACCTGAGCCGCTGTCTAATTTATCTGCAAACATGCATGCCTTGTTTCACGTCTTGTCTTAGACGCACGCAAATAGCTTTAAATATGCACTGCCTATCAGCACATGACTTAGCAATTTTTTGTTGTAATGTCTTATTTTACGGAAAACATAAATCTTTCTTCAGGTTCCGGCAATTCTTTTAGATAGGTGAATTGTCTAAAGTCTCCATCTGTCCAACAGGTAATTTTCTTCGTATTTAATACGGCGAATACAAAGTTATTGAGAAGAACATGTGGCGTTATTACTAAAGATCTGCATATTTATCGTCTTGTACAATTTTACGTTTTCACAGGAGTGAGTTTGTAGATGCCTTTCTTCTGTTTTGTTGAACCATATTGTCTGGTAGAAGTTTACAGACGTTTTAGAGGTCCTTGGCTGCCTCCATCAGGGATATCGTCGGTAAACGTCTACCAGACTACACGGCACAACACCCAGAAGACAGTCTTATTCATATTTATCGCCTTGTTACTGAAATCCAGTGCTGGCCTATAAATTCTGGCAAGATAATTTTATAGTTCCGTCAAACATAACACTTATTTAAATGAATAACACAGTTTCGTGTTTATTAGCAACATGTTTCGACCTCGTAGGCCATTCTCAGGCTTTTTACAACATATGTTTTGCATTATAAGTGGATACTGCAAACACATATATTTATTGAGGTTATGTGCTAAAATGTTAAAATTTATTATTTAAAATATATATTTAAGATAGGTGTTCGGTCCAACGTCATATAAACATTTTTACCGTTATTTAAATACAATATATTTTAGTTTTTAAAACTTAAGACCGTGTTGTGTAACAGTAAAATAGGATTTTATTATTTTTCATGTATAATATTTAGACACTGCTGAAGACATTATTTAAAATTCTCTTTTCTCAGTAAAATGAGTTGCACTTAGTAACATATAACCTAAATATGAGCTACACAATTCTATGTGCGTGACGTAGGGGCACGCAGAGGGAGACGCGTGCTTAAAGCGATATTGGCGTGCATTTTTTTCGACCGACGACGTTACCGATGTACAGATTACGATGGCGGCTATATTCGTATTTAGTTGAGAGCTGTAATGTTAACATAATTCTTTCTCAAACATCTTAATTGGTCATAAAAAGACATGAAAGTAAACAATTCTCTTTTAAAAAGCAAAATTCTTAATCAGGGTTTGTAACTGTGCTTTATAGACGTTCGTATACGATGTAACATGTATCAAATATGGAGTATTTATGTATTGTTAATTTTTAGGTTTGTAGAAGTGAAATATAGGTATTAATATGTTCACTTTTGGCATCTGTAAGGGTCAATTTCTGTCAATTAGAGACATGCTGTTGTTGTGTGCGGGGTATAAGGTGAAGAATTATCTTCCTATTTAAAGTAACTACGACAATATAATGAATAATATGGGTTGGAAGATGTCCAGAACTTTAAGAATTTTAAGTTTTGTAGAAATGTAAGTACTTAAATGTAATTTAACTACTATCGGCCTAGATGTGAAATTTTAAACACGGTTCGATATTGTCTAAAGATCGTCACCAGAATAGATTAAAAGTTTATTACTAAAGCAAAATTCACAACGCTGCTATTTATACAGACAATTTGTAAAATATTAATGATGCATTCAGAAAGGATACGACTTCCCTTTTAAAGTATTCAGTTATACCTCATTTGTGTATATTTAAATATTGTAACACAAGTTTTACTGTAACTTTAAAGTCATTCTCCATTAAACTATTTCATAATGGTTTCGGAATGCCAAGGAGTATTTATCAATCCCTATTAAAACTAAAAATTATATTAATAAACCGTAATTATTCTTTGTACACACAACCATTTACCAAATATGGCTCAGTAATTGCCTGCTCATTACCAGTTCCTGGGGTTCTAGTTTATTTTCTCGACATTTCCTTGTAACTGCACCTAATTAAGGCACTTGAAAATAACCATTACAACAACGAAGCGATTTACAGTTATGTAGGCATTACCTGTTCTTTCTTTACTTATAAAATACAACTTGAAAGTACGATAGGCTTATAATAAGTTATAAAGAAATTTCCTAATTTCTAACAAAACAATGTTCTAGTATTAGTAAAAAGAAACAGAAAGGTAATACCGTTAATATGTTTTGAACAATTTATTATTTTGTTTATCTATAGAATTCAAAAAATTACCTGAGGTGTGAATCTGTGTGTCTGTCATTGAAGTTATTGAATCAATTATTACTTATGGAAATAAAACACAGACGCCATTCAACATTTGCGATGCAGCACTAATTTTAAGGTAATCGTAGACATTATGTCAGCACTTTTGTTGAACTTATATGAAATAGGTCTTACGAAATATCTCTTAACCTAGGTTTAGGCCTGTGTCTCCTTAACACCACGGACTTCCCGAGCATGCTAACTAAGTATGTAAGATTTAAGGTTTTCACAGCGGTGAGTACCAAGATTGCTGTCTTCTGGGTTGTTGCGCTGTGTAGTCTGGTCGATGTTAACCAACGTTTCAGAGGACATACTGCCTCCTAAACGACGCTACAACCCAGATGACAGCCATCTTAAGAAGTACTCGGTTCTATGATGTTACTTACGTTACAGAAATATTCATTCTAACTTAGGTCTAGCATCTCGTGCTTGCTGTTCTGGGGATTTGCCCTCGGGGCTTCTTCTCCTGTGACTAGCCCATCTGGGCTTTCGAAATCCATTGCTTTGCCCTAACAAGACTTCCGCCACGAAGGATTAGACCATCACTATTATACAGAATAATTAATATTAAGGTTGTTTAGAGAAATGATCGCTGTATATGCTGAGAATCATACGAAAACCATTATACATGATGTGGTTAAAACAGTTACTGGCGGTTATAGAAGGTGGTATATATAGTTACCACAGTGACTTAAATAGTTTTAATGTAGAGTGAATATGATACGACTTAGACACAAAAAACTACGATTCCTTTAACCGGATTATAAGGGGGGAGGAAAATGACGTTTTCGAGTTTGGGTTGAGGAGTTATGGAAGGCGGGGTAACTTAGCGGTGGTTGTTGCCACTCATTATGTCATTGTGTGCACGCAACTTCACATGCAGTGCTGCCACCTTCTTACAGCCGTAAGTAACTTGTACTATTATATTAAAGGTGGTGGTTCCTGGCATTGTACTTTGATAAATTCTATGCCTGGAAATTAAGAGAAGAGGTAAAGAAAGTTATTTACAAAATTTGATGTAATACCGCTGCTGAAGTCGTTCGGTCATTTCGCGGTAAATGAAAATCAGACGGGCGTTCACTACAGTCATTCACTCACAGGCTGACTGCCAGCGACTGACGCTCTCTGCGAGTGGGTAAAAATTCACGAATGCGCATCAAGGTCCCCTACAACCCCCCACCGGAGGACACCTCCCGTGCTTCATTTGTTTCCGTGGGGAAAATTAAGGTCCGATACCTTTTAAACAGACCTCGCAGTAGTGACTCAGAGTTCTGATGATGGAGGCAAAAAACACTTATGAAGCGTTGATAAAATTCTTCCAGGCTATGCGACACAACATTCCAGAAGACAGTCATATTTTTACTCGACTTCGTGAGAACCTATATCCCACATGCAAATTCTCTAAACAGTGTCAAAATACGTTCTTTAAGATACAATTTGGTACCCTCCGATCCACGCCCAGGACTCTAAACTGTTGCCTTAACATCAGGAATTTAATGCTGTTCTGTAATTAATTTGCTTGCCTAAGCAATGAGTAGAAACACGTCAGACCTCAATACACACAACAGAATCAGATACGCAGTTTACAACGATTTCTAATCGGATGGATGGCCACTTCCTTCGAAATCTGCATTCCGCATGTTTCAAACCGCAATTTAGTGCCAGACGACATGTATAACAATAAAACTTATAGGTGGAATCTTTGACTTTGTCCATCGCATGTATTTCAATAAATGAGCAACGTTCCCGAAGCTGGATCTTATTTCGTCTTCGGGTGAAAGGAGGACAGAAATCTTGCCTGCCTGACCTACTGGTTAAGCTAGTCTCAGACCTTGCCAAATTAGGTCAACCAGAGGGCCCACAGCTTAGGTTTCTGTCCCCACCTTTTACCTGAAGACGGAAGAAGATCCAGGATCCGAAACTATTTGATTTTATTAAAATATACGCTGTGGCTAAGTCAACCAGAGGGCCCACAGCTTGGGTTTCTGTCCCCACCTTTTACCTGAATACGGAAGAAGATCCAGGCTCCGAAACGTTTTGATTTTATTAAAATATACGCTGTGGACAAAGTCCAGAATACCGCTTTTACAGGTTACAAAGCAACGTCGTCAGAAACCTTCAGACTTTGTGCATCACCAAAACAATTTTACATTTCAGAAATGCTAGGACTGGCTGCTCTACAATTGTTCCTTTCGACAGCCTCAAGTTATACTCATTTATATATTAATATGGAGTAACAGTAAAATACATTAATAATAAATCGAGTTCTGACAAGTTAAATACTATGGAGTTCAATAATTCTACGTAATAAAGAAACCACAAAAGCGATGCATAACTTACTGGTATTTAGGATGACATGAAGTAAACTGCGTAATTATATGATCTGAAGCGGTTGCGGCCTGTTGTCCCTTCCGTTGTCTGCATTGGACACCCTGCGTCTTTCTGTCTGTCACAAACTTCTACGTCTTACAGAACTGAGCGACTTGCAACGACAGCGAGTACACAAACATGTTTGCGGGTGGGGAGTTCATAGGAAATCAGGTTTTGTCAATGCAGCCTAATTCTGTGAGCGATGTAAACAGGGTGAAATTGGGAACATGTGCCCTATTATCGTAGGCGTACACATGTTTCGTGTATCGGTATTTAATTTTGAATAATTTAATGGAACACATCAGCTTTTGATCTACAATCATGATGTTGGATAAAACAATAAATATCACAAATGAAACATAGAAGTTCTGTTACTTTTTAGTAAGGAAATTCATCTGGAAGTAAATGTAGGAATTATAGGTTTATGTGCATGTTCTTATGTCGTCGAAAATGTAGCGAAGATTAGATATTTGGAAGCGACTTTAACAACTCAACGTCGTATTCACGAAGAAATTAAATGCAGGATAAATTCGTCTTTTCGATTACTATCTAAAGACACGATGTGTAGAACATACGAGATTACAATTTTCTCTGTTGTTTTGTACGAATGTGGAACTTGGTCTACTTCATTAAGGTGAAAATACAGATTGAAGGATTTTGAGAATGAGGTGCTGTAAGCGCATGGAGGGGGAAACGTCATGTCAGATCCAAAATTTTCGCAACGGTTAGAGGTCGACTTTGCCCTTCGTAATTGTACTACTCACCGAATATTATAAGGATAGCCAAATCAATGGTACGAAAAACGCGTGAAGAAAATTATAAATACGTGTAAAATTATAATTGAAAATCTCGGAGGGAAGACGCCTATTGCAAGACCTAAGAGTAGATGTAAGGAAAATATTAGGTGGATATTAAGAAAAGAGGTGGGAGGGATCATACTAAATTAACGTGATTCACAATAGAGGTCGATTGTAGGCTGAAACGGGCTGTGCTTCAAGGAATTAGTTATACCTCATGGGACTGGTTGTATATTTGTTTCTATATTTCCTTTGTAACTCCTTGCGCCTACATTTACGTCACATGGACAAGTGTTGTATGAGACCTTTATATAAAATTTATGTTTGGAATATATCACATCAATAAGAAATGAGCTCGCCCTACAATTTTTAGGTTAGACTTTAAGTACGAAATTTAACAGAAATATTTCCATTACTTTCGTTCAGACTGACTGACTGTCATTATGTGTTTATTTTATATAATCTACTCTATTTAAAAAGTGTTTATATTTTTGCTCAAATAACTTGCCCTTGTGGTGGGGTAAACCTGTACAAACTCACACATTACCCTGTCGGCATTGGTAAACACCCAGTGTAAGTTCACATGACTTGCATTCTCTCGTAAGCAACCATATTATACTTTTCACTGCACACACAATATTTCCTAAAACATATATGCATTACTTTAGTTACTAAGACTATATAGCAGTGTCGTCTTTGGGGAGCTGATAGTGGCACATCTAGTCAAAGAAATTTCCCACCTTTTGTGGACCCAGAGGTTTTCACTCTGGTGCTTTTTCGACGACTTCAAACCATCATTATAAACTTTAGAGACACAAATTTATGAACTCCCGTCTGTATTAGTAAACAGCAATTGTAAACTTGTATAAGAAAACTCAAAGGCAGTGGTAAAAGCCTGATAGGCCCTTCTTACCTTTCGGTGAATTGCAGGCAGCTCTTTGTATCCCGAAATAAGTGTCGTTGTCGCAGCAATGTCGCCTTCTTGTAATTATTTTATGAAAATAGTAACTTTGAAGCAGACTGGTCTTGGAAACAATAACGAACAGGAACCTGAAAGAAGTTTCAGTTACTAAGAATAATTTAAAGTGAAGAACGAAACGGGTCATTAACATATAAACAATAATCTCCATTACAGTTGGAGGTGGGCAGAAAGAAAGTAGGTGGGACACTTTAAGAACACTAAATTGCTGTATAATGAATTAGTGTATTTTCCCCAGTCAAGTTCTCCGTAAGCTTCATTATTTAAATAGTGGTTCATATTGGGAGGTTCCATTTATGGACCCAGGGTCTACAGTGGATACTGAGAGGCGTGGTTTTCTTTTTTTGTTAAGTGGCAAGTTCCTGTGAGGAATTCTCTGATGAAGTTATTGTTCAGTCTAAATATATAATTATCTCGCTTAAAATTTAAGATGAAGTTAACGTTATAATTATTAAACAAATAACATCGATAGATCATTTTTCTTTTAACTGAAAGAATTTGGTTGTAATTTCATCACATAATTTGTTTGTTTTGTATGGATTTCAACTTATGAGTTAATTATTGGTTTTAAAATTTTCTATGTATAAGCCTACTTGATTTTGTTGCTATATTTGCTTGAAGAATACAGGTATTCCCCCACATTCGCGTCATTATATTCCATTGTGCATCGGGCTCCTTCTTAGTACCTTACCCACTCGCTACGTCACATTACACTTCAGTCCTCGTCTTCCGATTTTACGGACAAAATCTCACACCTTACCCACTCGCTACATCACATTACACTTCAGTCCTTGTCTTCCGATTTTACGGACAAAATCTCATGAAAATCGATCTCTATCAAAGAATTTCGTTTGCAATTGTCTCTTACTTACGACCTCCAAAAGAAAGTTAAGTGATGTTGCCAATATAAGGAGAATTGTCGAAACTATGAAGAAAAAAAATAATAAGACACATAGGTTATGATGTTTATAAAGTTTGTCCCACTATACGCCATGTAGGCGCTTGTGGGGAGAGGAGGTATAGCTCCTCTCTTCCTTGACCTCGGCACTAGATGGGGGTGAGTGGTCAGCATCACGTCCCGGCCGGCTTTACCCCCGGGAAAGTACCCCGGTACCCATTGTAGAGGAGGCTGGGTTGGCCCCAGAGCCGGTCTGGACGCAGAGGCTAGAGGAAAAATCCTCTGCCCCCGTCGGGGATCGAACCCCGGCCGTACAGCCCGTAGCTAGTCACTATACTGACTGAGCTAGGCCTTTATTATTAATTTATCCCAGTTCGTGGTCTTATTCGTTACAATCTTATATCACAGGTCTCACAAATACCGAAACATAGCCGAAATGTATTTTGTTACATTTTATGGATAGTTCTGCTGTAGATTGTACTTAATGTTTCGTTGTGTCTGGAATGTTGTGATTTATTTCCTCATCGATCAGTTCTCTATTTAGCTCCTACTGCATATTTGTTTTCTATATTATTCATTTTATTTAACGACGCTGTCAGTAGCACAGATTACATAGACTGTAATTGTAAGGAAAATAATAAGGAATTAATTGTAAAGTATACGGAAGGATTTGGTCGTGGCCTAACTGAATGTAATATCCCAGTAATTGCCTGTAGGAACTGTCAGGATATCCAGTCTCTGGGCCGAGATCTCAACCCGGGATTTCTCGAATTAAGAAGAGGACAGAAATTATACACTCGACAGAGAAGTTCGGTGTTATATTATCATTGATTAAAAGTGTTATTCTGCGAAACAAGTGCTGTACGTGTTTAACTGTATTGTGACTACAGAAAGGTGTTCCGCCCTGTCTCAGCCTCCCTTAATCTGAATATAATGACACCGAAAAAGCGCGTTGTCAACGTCCCATTACGTCAGCTCGTATAGTCACACTGCAAATGCTTCGCTTACAATACAACTGTCTCTTATACTTAACACGAAGAGGTAAGGACTTAAGTATAGACTAGTCTAAGTAGGGCCCAACCAGCCTGTGTATTCTTGCGTGACTAGGACTTTCTTCAAGTAAACTTAACTGAAATTACACAATTATTTTAAATTGTAGTCTTCTGGGTTATGTCAATGTGCCGTCTTTTATGTGATCACAACGGCCCAGAAGAATCTTCTGTTTTTATTTTCAGGGCAGATAAATGTACAATGCTATATTATTTCTCAACGCAGAAGATCATAGTCTGAACTCTCAAACACAGAAACTGTCAAATATTATGAATGAAGCTCCTTAATTTTATATCGGCTATCTTTAAAAATTACAGTTAATAGATGTTTATTTCTTCAAGGGAAAATATTTGAACCGAAAAGGCAATCATGTACTTGTGAATACAGTTTCATTCCCTATTTGACTGACCAAGACCACTTACCACTGATTCGTTACCGAAGAAAATGCTAAAACCTGTTATCATCATGAGATTTATTGAAGGGCATTTGTTCGTTTCATTCATTTGATTTTTGAATGTATGTGGGCGTGGCCTTTGCAACGCTATTGAATTAATAACACACCTGTCACGTGTTCTCACATAACTGGTTTAATTCGTAAATAATATGATTACAAGAGGAAGAACATTGCTCCTGATATTATGCAATTTCTACGGTCTGAAGCTTTGGTTTACATCTCGGTTAACTACAGATTGTCCGATTACGCCTAACCTTACTCTTTCTTATAGCCACTTCGTTATTTCCTTAACATTCACAACAGGTCTATGTAATTCACGGATGAGCTCTCTCTCTCCCCCCCCTTTCCATAATGTGTTTTCAGCAGGCAATTGAGTAACACATTCCCCCTCCCCCCATAATTTGTTTTCAGCAGGCAATTGAGTAACACAGGCACATCGCCGATACAAGAAATTAATGTCCAACTGATGGCATTATGTACACGGTCATTTATATTACAATGACATGGTACACACATTCACAAGAGTGAAAGTTATACCAACAGAAAAAAATGAGTAAGGCAGGGAGCTGAGCCTGCACCGACGACCAGTTCCGGGGATAAACCATTTGGTCCCTCTATCCATGGTCGACCTAGGTCTCGTTTTCCGTCAGATTTATAAAATGAAGCATCATGTTAATATCGAAGAGGTACATTATACGCTCACTGCATGCTCGTTCAGTCTTTGGTGTTTCGCCTTCAACTTTTCTTCAATATTAACTGATCCGATTTGTCAACTAAAGTTTTTGTTTTATCTCCTCTTCACACCATATACGGATCCCATAAAACTCACTTTTGCAGCTTTCAAGCTATTCTTATCTTCTGTTGCTAACACCCATTCTTCGCATCTATTTCAATACCAGGCTCAGTCATTATATTACGAACGTTTAACTTTCATCCTTGCTTTAT